TCAACTCCCAAGGACTTCAGTAGCGCCGCAGCGGGAGACTCGTCGAGACACCACTCTGTTGAGACGTCGCACGAATAATTGGTGTCAGGAAGATCCTTTCTTGACGCTAGAAGAGCAAGCTGTTTCAGAATTCTCGTTTCCTCTTCACCATCCATCTTCTGACTTGAACGATTCTTGCTCAGATCTAAAAGCCTCAAGAGCTGCTCATCAGCCACACTTCCCGAGTGAAGACCAAGCATTAGGGCTGCAGCGTCGGGTACCTGAGATCCTCCCAGTGCGTCACCAGAGGGCGGCGTCACGCTGTTGAGAGATGCATTGTTTGTGCTATCAAACTTGCAAGGAGAGGGCAAACTAGACTCCCGTTTCACTGATGCGATCTCCGTAGTGATGCGGTCACAAAAGTCGGGAGGAGCTTCAGCAGGAGCCATTGTCGCTTCACGCAACTTGTCAAATACTGATGAACAAATCTGCACAACTGCGGCACTATCACATAACGGCGCGACACTTTTGGTTCCAATAAGCTGAGAGAAGGATGGGAGACAAAGGCCATCTGATTTTTGCAGTGAACTCTGGGCTAGCGGATGTTCAGCAACGTTAGGACAAACATCGCCAAGCAACGAGGATAATGAGTCAGTCAAAGTGGAGGATTCCGCTCGATCACATAAAGTTTCATTTGAAAGTGGCCACGGTTCCCTAGAGTACCGCAACAGCTCCTTCACGTATGAAAACTCTGGTGTTCTCAATGACTCACGCCTGGAGGATCCGAAGGAGCTTCGCGCCTCATCGATGTTGCGTTCTGGGTCCGGTAACCTTGATGGCGGCAGTGGTGAGGAGTAACGAGGGGCTGTGGATCGATGCAATATCGGTGAGAGAGGCCGAAATTGTGTCGCAAAAAGTTGGGAAGGAAGTCCCGAAGATATACTCGCAACCGACGAATCAACAAAATTCTCTTCTGGTGTCATTCCTTCAGTAGGGGCTCTGTCCTTGTTCGCGCTGACCGATGATCTCGAAATTGTATCCAACCATTTTCTGAGATCAGCAGTCACTACTTCAGAGTGGGGGATACCAGAATCAGGCAGTAAAAAGCTCTCAAGAGCCGACTGTTCAGTTTCCTTTGAACTTCGATCGCACTTTCTTCTTTTCGCTGGTCTTTTCTCATTCTTCGTGGACAATCCAGCAAAACCTGCTAAGCTTGACGCAAGCTCGATCGAGGAGCAATCTAACAAAAGCTCTGAATTTGTTGTTGATCCAGAAAACAGTAGCGCTGATGTTAGAGACTGAGGATGTTTCAGATCTGTGGCGGTTGCTTTATCTGATTGATGAAAGACTTCATCTAAAGAGCGGTTCAATTTCTGATGGTCCATCAACCAGGGATTGTCTAAAATGAAACCTTCAAACTCTGAATCATCCGCGAAACAATTCTCGTCGCTCTCATTAAGGAGAGAGCCCTTGCTGACCACATGAGGGGCTTTTGCAGAATGTTCAAGACTTCCCTCAGGAGCCATTTCTGCCTATTTCTGCAACAAGGAGAAGACATCTGTAAGATCAAGTCGACGGAAACAACAGACCTTTAGATTTTAAATCGTTCGTAGAATGTAACTGCGAATTATCATTTCCGGTGGAAGTCACTCAGGATTGGGGACTATTAGGCGCAATGCGCAGTTATGCCCAGAAGTTCAGATGATCTTTTTTCATATTTCCGCAAGCTACCGCGTGATTCAGATTTCAATAGACTTTTCAAAGATCCGACTGTCGTAGTCACTCTGTTCAGAAGCCTCGATGATGTGGAGAAAATCATCGCCACGCGGATGCTCAGTCTGCCTGAACCCAGCAGGTGGGAACCATTTTTACTTTGGCTTCGTGGGCAACAGAAAAGAGGCGATTCGCGCACTGAACTCTCTTCGTTCGCTCCATATTTTACTGATCCGGCCGCAAAGGCAGAATCCGTCAGCTTCTGTAGTGGATGATGGAGGGACTTCGAACCCAAGCACGGGTGGGTCGATGCTTGCGCCTCCTCCGTCGCTTGTGAGTGCAACATCCAGGAGTAGACTATCTAACAATGGAAGCGGAACCATAGCAGATGCTCGTTATGAGTTACATCCAACATTCAGAGAAACGTTATTGGCTGCAGTCAGAACCAAAGCTAGTGTACCAAATGCCGACCTGAGACAGGGCAGCAGTAAGGCCCCAAAACACTTCCCCACTAAGGGAAGGCTTCAAGTTCACGCAGCAACGCAATGGAACAATGTGAGTAGCGTAAAGGATTTTGCTGTTTAGATAGTCCGTCATTCAGATCTTGCAATGGCTGTGCGAGGGAGCATCGCTCAAAGGACAGCAGATCTCCGCGAACAGATCAGGAGGACTCTTCGCACGGCAATCCTTCCGTCCGCCTCTATCGAGTGATTTGATGACAGTTTTACGTCGACTCCGTTTACTTCATGACCACTTGTCGTCAGAGTAAGGAGAGTATCTAAATGCAAGAAGAGACCAATCAAACTCCTCTCTATTAACGTCCCTTCTTTTGATAGGCAAATGAACCAGTCGGCCGTTGCAGCCGATGGACTTCCTAATGAAACGTTTCAATGGCTCCTTTTAGATATCCGATGCCAGATCCTTTCTATTTGCATTGAATACTTGCATTGTTTACATTTCGGCATCATTGGGGGGACTGAAGTGAAGGCAGTGCCTTCAATTGCATCGAGTAATGATGCTATCATGATAATGGCAGGGGATACGACAACTCCAACAGCCCCAGAGACGGCTTCCAAGGACAGAATTGAACTTCTCTGTCTTTTATTTGGTTTATCTGAAGCATTAATTGGACAAGTATGTTAACATCCAGAACGCTCGATTACATCGTCCATGCAGCCGTGTTCAGTAGCTGACCTCTCTCCTGTGCAAAATCGCTTCCTGAGCACCGCTTTCGACATGGGGTTGGTATGGATGTATAAACCTCGAGGAGCGAAGCATTATTTTTCCAACTCCCTTCGTTAAGCTTCTGCAGTGTGATGGGCGTAAGAGGAAACCCTTCATGCGTCGTGTGTTCATTTTGAGCCTTTCCAGCCGAACTGGCCCCACTTAACGTCAGCGATTTCTACATTAACGGCCTTGGGAAACAGTTCAAGCGAAAGCCTTCTGGGGGGGGGGGGGGGGGGGGGGGGCGGGTCAACCGTTATTGACCTTCCGTCTCATCTTTATCATTCGGCCTACACAAGGTTCTTCTCTCATGAAAAGCTCGCCAATTATCCGCTCCAAGTGGAAGAGAACGGTAGGGATGAAGTTTCTGGTCGCATTATGCCCGTTTTATATTAGAGGATCCCACTTCATCAACTCCGCCAGTCGCGGGGCCAGCTCCGGAAGCCGGAGTTATCGTCGAGTCGAATTTCAAGATATTCGCCTACACTGCGAGCTCGCTACTCATAACTGTCGTGGGTCGGTCAAATTTTTTGCTTCTCATATGATTTCTTGCCTTACTCAGCAAGATTGTGCGAAATTCGAATCGTCACTCCAAATCTTGTTGTGGGCAGCTTGTCAAGAGAGAGTGTTCTCGAAGCATACAAAAGCGGTGTAACAGCGGAGCAAATCATCCGGTTTTTTTCCGCTCATGCCCACCCATCAATTATACAAAAGCTCGTCGTGATGCTAAGCCAACCATTCCAGAAAATGTTTCAACTCAGTTAAAAATCTGGGAGGCGGAAAGGCGTCGCGTCCGCATGTCGAGAGCTTGTGTTTTTGAATTTTCTAAGGAGTCTGATGTCGACGTGTTCCCCCTTTCTGTTGCAAAGGCGAATGGTACTGGGTGGTTGTTAATGAGCACAGCGACTCCACTCACGGCCAGTCCAAGCTCCAAAGAAGTGAGATAGTTTCACAAACTTTGGAAGCAGTGTTTCTCTTCAGTTTCAGGACTGGAAAGTCAAAGCCATTGAAAGGTTCAAGGAACGCCCCCCACCGTTAATTGGAGGTGAATCTGCTGGAACAACGTTTCCTGTTTTGCCGTTCACGCTCAGCACAAAGATGAAATGACAGCCTTCATCCGTAATTCAATGAGAAACTTGGCACGATAAACAGTTCAATGAGCCAGTTGAGTCCCCCAGTTCGTGACTAACTCTTTTAGTCCCACATTTTTTGATGTTTAAATCCGCAAAAAAACAATGAACGAGATGGATTTCGAATTCGAACAACTCATCACGCGACAGGAAGATGATAGAAAGAGATTACTGGAATCCCAGGGGCTTCTACGCGACCATCTTGGAAGAAGCGTTATCGTTGGACGAGGGACGCACAGTGGTTTGTCGCCATTGGCTCAGAGGAATGTGCTGGAAAGGGGAACTTTGTGAATTCCTCCACCAGTATGATACAAATCGAATGCCAACTTGTAGACAGTACCAAAGGGCTGGCCATGTGATGACTATGCACGAGGAAACTGTGTGTTCCTCCACGAAAGCAATGGGAGTAATGTAAATCAGTCAACTCATAGAAGTGAACAAGCAGCGGACGGTCCGCCCTGTCTTCACTACTATTTGGGCTTCTGTAGGGCTGGACCCAGATGTAGAAAGCGCCACCAACGTCTTACTAAGGAAGAACTTCCTCCTTTGGTCCCTGATTGGTATTTGCGCTTAGTTGTGGAGAATGCAGCATCAGTAATTCCGCAAGGGGTTGACCCCGAAACAGAAGAAATTATGGAGCAGGTCGAAGCCACTTGCAGGGACCTTTCAGGGGCTGGAGTTAGTACGGCTCCATTTTCAAAGGAGGATTCAAATGCCGTGGCCTTGTCGGCCTCTGAAAGTGATAGACCGCTCAGCGGCTCACATGAAGTGGAGCGTTCAGCAGGGACTAAACCTATGCGAAGATCTACCATTGATTGCTAGCTAGGGCCCAAAGCGAGGGTATGCAATGACAGCTTTTGTTTAAAGTGCCAGACGTCTTCCTTCTGCTTTTTAGGAATTCCTAGATTGCCAGTTTCACAAAAGCCTCAAAAGACATTGCAAGTTCGAGTGTTTATGATCAAGTCAAATGGATTGGGAAATATCTACAAATCTGTACGCCTTGGGGTTTGGGCAACAGGAAAACAAAATTCTCGCTTACTAGATCAAGCATTCCGAGAAAACGACCACATTGTTTTATTGTTTTCTGCTAATGAAAGTGGAGGATTCCAAGGGTATGCTCGAATGGCCAGTCCTCCCCTCCCAGGGTTGCATCCTAATCTCTGGGGCTCTTTTTCTGTCCGTCTTGGAGCGAATTTTCGCGTCCAATGGTTGAAACAGTGCAAGGTCGAGTTTGAGAAGTTCAATGGTCTGACAAATCCTTTGAATGACGGTCAACCGATTAGGAAGAGCCGTGACTGTCAGGTAAGAGAAAAGACACCTCGCGCTCGTTTTGAACTCTTGACGCCTCCAGGAAGTTCCTTTGGCATTAGCTGGGATTATATGTACGGTTTTGGACAGCGCTCCCGACGAAGATTTGCTTGCGGGTACTGACGAAGCGAAGTTGTCTCGCATTGACCATCAATCCACTTTTTTTGAGTTGCCCGAAGAACAAAAAAGAGCAGTCGAGGACTCTCTGGGAATTTCCTCCGATGAACCAACGCCGCAAAGCTACGTCAACAGAAACTCTCCAGCTAGATTATCTCATTTTCGCAACATGCCATATTAATTTGAAATGCCCCCAATCAATCCATTTTAACTGCTTCACACTGTTCCACTCAAGCAGTACGTCTCTTCTCCAGCCTACATTTGGCCTGCTGAAGAGGTATTGATGATACAGGAGCGTACCACGTTCTCTCTCGACACTCAAATGTCGGGCTCAAGATTTCTTTTTTAAAGTATGGACAGATGATTTCAGAAGCCAGCTTCACAAGTTGAATGTATTCTGGGTGAACTCTCAGTGTCGTACCCTCAATCCTACCAGATGGCGGCTAAAATCAATGCTTGACTTTCTGCCTCTTACGTCGTTCCAAGAATTCTTGATTTGCAGTCAATTCCCTGAGCAGGGAAGGGAAGGAGGTTTATGTCGCACAAGAAAGATTTGAAAAAATTAGCTATTCGCACCAAAGCGTCGTTTCAACGAGTTTTTGACGTATTCCTGGTGCAACACAATGTAGAATTGCCGGTAGGACGACGCAATACCGTCTACGAGAGGTTCTAGTAACGAAAAGCTCAGGTGGCCGGGTGCCAGCGGCAATTTCTTGGGTTCTACACAAGTGAAATTACTGTCAGATGACTGCTCCATGAGACTTTACCGACAACGACAGAAAACCTCAGCTTCTCTTTCCAACATTCTAGAAATTCTTGCGACTTGATTCTGAAGGGCTGCGGGGTCACCAGCCTTGCCCCACCAAACTACTGTTGCTATTATCAGAATGCCTATCACATGATTCATCTGTATTGTTTTCTATTTTTGTCTGCTCATTATTCCGAAAAATTCCTCGAACCAGAATCTCACGCAAAACGGTGCTGAGGGGGCCGTTCTGCAGTTTGTTTACTGTTTGTGTCAATTTGGAACCAAAACGGTCACACGTGAACGTCTAGTATGCTGGGCCACCTTTACCCTTCTTGTCGCCACCAAGCTCGAAATGCTTGCAACGCTTGATAGGTAGAAGTCTAAGACCAACCAGAAGATAGAAGCAATCAAGTTTGACCAAATTCTTACCTTTTATGCTTGCACTTGGTGCATTCAAGCTTCAAAACAATCTTTTTGGTGGTCTTGGCCTTTTTTCTAAAGATGGGCTTCGTTTGTCCACCAAAACCCTTCTGCTTCATATCGTAACGACGTTTTCCCTGCGCCTT